TCGTTGGTTCGTCGGTTTGTGCCGAGCTGAGCTAAGGGACCTATAAGCAATTTTATATGCCTACAGATGTATCTAGCGGGGAAGGCCATCTTCATCCGATCCAATTGCCGGTTGAAAGGAAAATATTCTTGATAGGGAACGTCATCCATCGGCAGTCCTGATACCTTCTGCATCTCGTGCAGGGCCAGGCCCAACTCTCCATGCTGGGTCAGAAAGGTATTAGTGTCTAGGTTGTAGAGCTCCAATAATGCAAGGAAATGATACATGCTCATGGGAAACCCATACATACTAGCACGAACAGGTGTATACAAATTGTATATTCATTTCCTTTCATGCATATATTCTTTTTGTAAATTGTTTGTCATCATAAAAAAGGGGAAGATTATTGCCTTCTTGTTTTGATGATGTTTAACAAATAATTTATTTCTAATGTTGTTTTTCTAGTATTTGTATAATTCTATTTATTATAGACAAACAACATGTTGGAGGATGGATGGAATTGCGCATTCACGATCATATCCAATGGAGGTTGGCGGAATTGTGGTATGAAGCCTACGTAATTCAAGTTCAAGATCCAAGTTCAACCTTCATCCGCAAGTGTACTAAGTCAAGCTTATTGAAGATCAAGATTGCTTGGGTAACATTTAGTTTAGGTGTTATATTATGTGTGTTGGTACTTTAAGCTCAATATAATATGCACACACATTTTATTGGTTTCTTTGTATATATATAGTTATATATATATACATAAGTTAAGTTTTGGTTTCTATGTATATTTAGTTATATATATACATACATGGTTTTGAGTTTTTAAGTTTTAATATGAAACAATTGTTATATTTCTTGTTTCATACTTATATGCATATATATGATTTCATCAGTTCAATGAAATCATGTTTTAGTGCATTATATGTGTATTTTGATAAAATATTATATTCTTTATTTATAGACTTCATAACAATAGTTTATATCTTTCTTCAAGTCTATAAAATTATTTTGTATTGTTTTACTTTCTTCAAGTCTATAAAATTATTTTGTATTGTTTTAAAACATGGTTAAGCTAAAATATCAAAACTCATATGTTCACATTTTTATGTTTTGGCTAAAATATCAAAACTCATATGTTCACATTTTTATGTTTTGGACTATTTTGCAAAATGATGATATTTTGCAAAACATGATCAAGATTGCATATGTATTATCATGTCTACAATCATTTCTCAAAGTTTTAAATTTTTTTTGAATTTATTTGATATTTTTAAACAGGGTTTTAAAATTAGAAAACTGTTTACAAACCTATTTTTGTCTTATGTCAGTTTGCGGTCAACCGCCACGGTCGACCGCCCTTGAGTCCAAAGACTTACTTTGCTTTTTAGTGGCTCACGGTCGATCGTGGCGGTCGACCGGATGAAGTGCAGAAAGTTTTACGGTCGACCGCCACGGTCGACCGGATGTCTTTTCAGAGCCCAGTTTTGTTATTTTGTTGCTCACGGTCGACCGTGATTTTCCCACGGTCGACCGCCGATCGCCTATCGGCTATTTTTGGTACAGAATCAGATTTCTGATTCGTTAGGGTTTTTGATCTTTTGTTTTGGGTTTTTGCAGTTGGTTTCTCTTCTTATATAAACCCTCAAACCCCTCTCTACCAGTGTAACCAATGAGAATGCTTTAAACAAGTTTAACAAGGGTTTTAAAGTTTGTTTTTGTGTGTTTTAAAAGAGTTTAGTTTGTGAAGACTGTTTCACAAGTGGAGGAGATCATCTACATTGTTTGGGCTTCATCTTAATCCATCTCTTCATCTTGTTTTTCAGAGAAGAATTTTTAAACTCATATCTAGCTTTACATTTACATATTTGTTTTGATTATCATTCTTTAAAGCTAGTTTTTATATTGAGTTTAGATTTGATAACTTACTGTTACACACACCCACATTAAGCTTATTGTATTCATACATAGTATATTTGGGTTGGTGAGTATTGTAACATTGAGAGTGAACTTCATTGTGTTCTCATTCATATTTGAGAACAATCATTTGTTATTCTATGAGATTGTAAAGTTTTCGGTGAGCTAGAAAACCGAGTGCGAGGTGTAGACGTTGATCGGTGAGCGTTGAAAACCGATATTGTGAGAGTGTGAACTGTGAAGTTTTTTGTGAACTAGAAAACCGAGTGTGAGGTGTGGACGTTGATCGGTGAGCATTAAAAACCGACATTGTGAGGTGTAAACGTTGTTCGGGTAAGCGTAGAAAATCCGGTTGTGATAGTGGATTTCTCCCCGAGAGTGGGGAGCGGAGACGTAGGACGGAAGGTCCGAACTCCGTGATCATATTGTGTGTTGGCATTGTTTATTTGCACACTATCACTCTTGTTTTGTTTATGTTTATTTCCCCCTTGTGTTAAGTTGTATATCCTCGCATATATCTCATAGTATATCTCTTTGCTCGGATATTTTCCTTTGTTCATATTGCATATTCTTGCACATATCATATTGTATATCTATCTTGCAAGAATAATTTTTAAATTAGTTTTAATTAGCATAAAATCGGATTAGATTAGCATAAGACCCTAATCACCCTCCTTTAGGGCCTAACAATATTAATTTTGAACTTCTATGTGCATGTTTGACAACTTATTTATTTCTACCTATAAGTATCTTTTTACTTATAAGTTGGCAACATTGTGTTTGGTAAGAGTTACTTATGTTACTTATATGTCACTTATAAGTAGCCAAAAATTAAGTTGAGATTACCCAACTTATTTTTTGGCTACTTATGAGGCCTTATTCTGACCAAATGACATAAATACCCTCCTATTTACCTTCACTTCGTTAAATATTTTCTTATAATAAAGTGATTGATGTTATTAATTAATTAGTTAATTTATTTATTTATTATTATATTATTATTAATATATAATATTATATTAGTATTTAATAATCAAAATAAAATGCAATATATAAAAATATTTAAATTAAAGATATTTTTTATATGAGATAATTAATTTTTATCAATTAATTTTATATTTTTTATATGAGATAATTAATTTTTATCAATTAATTTTTATCAATTAACTTTTATCAATTAATTATATCAATTATAATATTTCATTACAATGAAATTAATTAATTAATCTGAATATTATTAATAAATAATCATAATTAATTTGAGAAAATTAATTATTGTTGGCCTTCTTGTTTTGATGATGTTTAACAAACAATTTATTACTAATGTTGTTTGTCTAGTG